CGTGTGCTCTTCCAACTCTACGTTGGACTTTGGTATACCGCGAAGACGTGCGAACAATCGTAAGTGGTCAAAAGTATTTAAGGAGGGTATTAAAGCATCAGTTTGTGGACAGTATCCCATCTCAGAAAGATACTGCAAAAAATAATCCTCTAATATAAACAATATAGCATTAAAGAAATTAAATTACTGCACAAGTTATTACCTTGAATCTATTCGAATGGATTTCAGCTTGCTTTAAGTACATTATACCACTATTAGACATTTCTTCTCCCGTTAGCATCCTGAAAGTTGTACTCTTTCCAGCACCGTTTACGCCGAGCAATCCGAAACATTCCCGTGGCTTCACTCGAAAACTGATTTCTTTCACAGCCATTAGCTTGCCATAATATTTGCTTAGTTCATACACTAAGAAGAGACTGTTCCCGTCATTTAAGGAACCTTGTAATAAATCCAAGTTAGGAGTCTCTGGGGGACTTGTTTCTAATTCTTTTTTCGTAACTTTTACACCTGTACATAAAACCATGTACAATTATGCATTACTATGTATTAGACGTAGTAGAAAGTTTTTTGCTTTTTTTAACCAAATTCAATCTTTATTTGAATAACATACAAAAAAAGCTCAATCCCAGCTGTTTCGCAGGTTCTTTTTGAGTTTGCGCTGTGTTTTCATTCAATAATGTCTGCATTTCGTCCGATTCAAACTGCACAGTTCGTCCAGAACGTCGGTCTTTCAAATCAAAATTTCCGTCGCGAAATTTTTTATACCATATTTTACGTGTTGTGTGACTTACATCATTATCATCGTATGCAGTACAAATCATTTCGGCAGCTTCAGCATTTTTTTTTAGATGAAATGCTAGGTGAATGGAATATCAAATGTTTTTTAATCATCGCTATTATTAACAACTGAATAACTATTGATTTTTGATTTTATAGCTGCCCCCACCATCGCTTTTTGTACTATTAATATTAACTTTAAGATCGCAAAAAAACGCGAAAATATTTCAATTTAAAATAATGCTCTAATCGGTGCAAAACTTGAAGCAAAAAACTTTCTACTACACCTAATAGACATATTTCATATAAATTAACGTTAATAAATTCAGTTATTTAACTTTCATGTATCGTTTCTTAGAAGATTAGAAATTATCTTACTTTGGTTATTAATTTTATTAATTTCTACCGCTACTGCAAGTTTCTCCTGCTTCACTTGATCATCCATTATATCTTGTTCCTTTTTCAGTTTTGTACCCATTATTTTCATGAGTAATTTCGAAAACAGTTTCTCTTCCATTATATATAATAGAACAAAATATAAAATTGGTGTTAGAGCTA